AGATTTGAGGCTTTCACGGCGGTGACTATGAAGAAAGCAGTCTTCTGGGATTTGGCACCGTGTATATGTGGTGTTAACCGACGTTTCGGAGGAACGTATCGCCCCCATCTTCAGGGTTGAAGAAAAAGTATAAGTAAATCTGCAAGCGACAACACCGTGAGACACGGTAAAGCAGTCTGATGGGCGATACGTTCCTCCGAAACGTCGGTTAACACCACATATACACGGTGCCAAATCCCAGAAGACTGCTTTCTTCATAGTCACCGCCGTGAAAGCCTCAAATCTAACAAAGCTAAGATTGTTCCCCTGATTTATGCCATGAAGACGTATGAGGGTGTTGGTTATAACTCCACGCATTCTTAACCTTGGCACTATACGAAAGTATCAGCTTCAGGAAGTTGAGAACAGAAAAATAGGGCCCTTTGCCGAGAATTAAACCTCGAACGCCCGATAGTCTAGCAAGTAGCCTAGACATTACACCGAGCCAACCCGGCTCTCCTGGGCATGGTGACGAACAGCAAGCATGCCACACTGCCTGCAATTTATTTACTTCTGGTTTGTTTAACGGCGCTGTCAGTAGCTCAGACTATACGGCATCGAATGGGGGGGGGGATGATTAATGACTAATGAACTGGAAGCGATATGGAAGCCAGGAGTAAAGGTAAAGGTAAAGCTATCCTTGTAACATGCCATGCAGGCCCATAGGGTTTTGAGACGTCCAGGCGCCCATATTATCTAGACAATAGGCAGTGAGGTTGTCAGCCTTACGCGCCGGCAGCCCTTTACCCCCCAGGAAGATTCCTGGTACTCATTTCTGTTAGAGGCTGAGTCGACTCCAGGGTTATAGTGCCTCAACCAAACACGCTAGCGGTTCTGACATCATGTACGGCACTATCCCAACATATATCTGGAGATACGGACGAAAAGCACGAGGAACTTCAGCCAGAAGAGCCGAAATTGGGAACCGGAACCTAGAGAACGTGGAGAAAGATGCTACCCTTTCAAAATACAATGCACGGTGCCAAGGATCGAATCCCACTCCTCTGGCTCGTAATCAAGTCACTACAGTAACTGAGCTCACACACTTCCCTACATCTACCCCCCACACCATGAACGAAAGGCTCCAAGCATCCCATACTTCAATCCTACCTGAAGGGGGTTAAGTTCAGAATCCGGTAACTTTACCCCTGAAGGATGGGGGTGGGGGTGGGCGCTGTTCGGAGACGCGGTCTCGACTGAGCGTGGAAAAATGAAAAATTCTTCATCTTTCTGGGGGGACTCATACCTAATCCATCCGGCTCCTACTCAGTCGCTCTCTTCTCACTCGGCTAAACCGCCTCTCTAAAATCATCAGCAAATGGTCTCATTTGGACTGCGGCATGCGCCTTATCCTTCAGTAAAACAAATATTAAAAAGTGGCACTGGCGCAGGATTTACCCGAGTACTTTAATTTCCCCTGCCAATTCTCATCCCACCCATCGCTCCATATTCATCAGTCACCTTATCACCGAACAACCTACTGCTAGAACGAATTCCACAAACAACAGAATTCACAGAAATAGGAAAAAGCGCGTTGACTGGACAAGCTCTGACGGGAGTGAAAAAAGAAAAAACCCTAAAACGTCAACCAATAGGAAAAACAAGTATGGAAAGACTCTTGTTTCTTAATATCCGTACCAGGTCTCCAAACACCTACTAATGGAAAGGATGATGAGTAATCCGCTGAGGAATTCAGAAAACTAGAAGTCCTCCCTGTTATGCCTTCAGTTGATGTACTTCGTACAAAGAACGCAGAGCTCCCAATTATGTGCCGATGACCTCCGTACACATAACGTTTGGTTTACTCCTTACTGTGCAGAATCCGTAACGCAGAAGCAAGCAAGCATACGGCACACGATACGTTCTTCATAACCCAGGAGACAGTCTTCCCAGTCATCACGATAAGAGCCTCAATAACCAACACTGCAAGACTACGTTTTTATTAGCCTACTTTCGGCATCCTGCAAAAATAAAAGTATGCTTATAATATCGCCTTGCGGTCTGTGTGTATTTTAATTCCTTCCCTATTAACTTCTGAATGCCTGAACCAATCTTGAAGCTCGGGTATGTATATCATGGCACCTGAGGCCATCTCAAGTCTGTACGTGTACGTTCCCTACCGTTGCTAAGCAAACATCTCGAGGCAACGAATACATGCAACAATGGAACTGTCGGAAGAGTCATTTTCTATGCAGTCCGCGTCTTATCAAAGGAAACTGGAGGATCAGTTCTTCCCAAAACTTCTTCCCTTTCTTAAAGTTGAAACGCTACATTCGCTTTTGTATAATTATTAAAGCAAAAGTTCAATTCGCTCTGATTCATTTCAATGGTGATGTCTCTAACGAGGCCAGGTGAAAACACACACACACACACCTCTAATAGATTTTTATGAAAGTCGGTATTAAGAAATTCCGTTATAGAGGACTGGCATGTGAGAGCTTGACTCAGTTCAACACCCGACGAGGGCGCCCCAAGCGGAAAGAAAACGTACCCTTTAATGCCTTCCCACTGCCCTATTTATTTACGAAAAACTATAAACGTTTACAAACACGGACATTTGAATCCTGGGATATTATTCGCGATAAAGATCAACCAGTACTAAAGCTAAGCTAAGAACAAGGTATCAGAGATCGATTTCTGGGAAGTGAAATATATTTTTATCTTTTCCACAGCATTCAAATCGGGTCTGGGGCCCACACAGCCTCATGTTCAACGGGTACGGGGGTCCTTTTCCCCGCGGTCAAGGCGTCAAGCCGACCGCTCACCTCCATCTAGCGCCGAGGTTATGAATGCGTGCAGCTAAGCCTCCACTTCCCCATACGTCTTCACTGCGTGGGGATTAATTTAGCACAAGGTGAATCCCTCGCGGGAACCTGTAACCCTTAGAGGGCGCGACCCTTCGGTGGCGCAGGAGGGAGCCATGTGGATAGGTGGGCCGATCTGAATATACTGAATAAAGACCAGCGGACCAACAGGAGGCCCAAGTTCCGGGGGCCTAATACTTGGACAC